CCGGGGGTCCCATGAGGGGGCAGTTGGGGGTCCCATGAGGGGGCAGTTGGGGGTCTGGTGAGGGGACAGCTGGGGGTCTGGTGAGGGGGCAGCCAGGGGACCCGTGAGGGGACAGCCGGGGGTCCAGTGAGGTGACAGCCAGGGGTCCCATGAGGGGGCAGGTGGGGGTCTGGTGAGGGGACAGCTGGGGGTCTGGTGAGGGGACAGCCGGGGGTCTGGTGATGGGACAGCCGAGGGTCCCATGAGGGGGCAGCCGGGGGTCCGGTGAGAGGTCAGTCAGGGGGTCTGGGCCGTGGCACTGGGGGCGACGATGGGGGTCCTTACGTGTGGCCAGCCTGCGGGCGGCCGGGGGGCCCAGATCCGCTGCCAGCTTCCGCTTGCAGCTCTTGGTGACCTTCTCCACGTCGGGCTGTTTGCGGTTCAGCTCCTCCATGAACACCTGACGCAGAGCACCGGCGCTGAGCGCCCGCCGGCCGTGCCAGCACAGCCCCCCGGTGTGCCCCACAGCTCCCCGGTGTGCCCCACAGCCCCCCGGTCTGCCCCACAGCCCCCCAGTGTGCCCCACAGCCCCCCGGTGTGCCCCACAGCCCCCCAGTGTGCCCCACAGCCCCCCGGTTTGCCCCACAGCCCCCCGATGTGCCCCACAGCCCCCACAGCCCGGTCCCGCTGCCCCCCTCCCAGGACCCTCCTGCACCAGCAGCGTGTGCTGCAGACCCGGTGGGCTCGGGCTGCACGAAGCCAAAGGTGCCACAGTGTCTCTGCCATGTGTGTGAGTGGCACCGAGGGCCCAGCCCGGCGCACCCCAAGGCCCTCGGGGCTGGGTCAGGACCGGGGATGACGCGAACCCCGGGGACAGCCGGGCACAGGGTCCCTCACCGTGTGCTGGGCAATGAGCTCCTCCAGCTGCTCGGCCTCCTCGGGCAGCGGCTCCTGGTCCCGCAGCCCCAGGGCCTCCTCGGCCGCCGTGATCCAGTCCATGAGCTGCTCCGTCTCCTCCCGCTCGGCCGCCAGCACGGCTGCCTGCGCCCGCAGCCGCTCGCCCTGCTGCTGGGCCCAGCTCAGCACCTGCGGGGCACCGAGGGGTGCTGGGGCACAGCACTGACACCCTGCTGCGGACACCGAGGTCTCCTGCCCCGAACAGATGCTGCGGGAGCCACTGCTCTGGGGGGAACGAGTCGGCACGAGGAGCCACGGCCACTCTGGCCACGGGACAGGCTCACGGACACCCCACCAGTGGTGATGGGGCAGGGACAAGGGGGCTCTGCGTCCCACCATGACCATGGGGCTGCATGGACCATCCCCGGTCAGCAGCCCCAGTGACCATGGGCAGGGATGAGGGGGCTCCGTGTCACACCATGACCATGGGGCTGCATGGACCACCCCCAGCCAGCAGCCCCAGTGACCATGGGCAGGGATGAGGGGGCTCCGTGTCCCACCATGACCATGGGGCTGCATGGACCATCCCCGGTCAGCAGCCCCAGTGACCATGGGGCAGGGATGAGGGGGAGGGATGTGGGGCAGGACAGAGCTCCTTCTGGGCAGCTGGGGCAGGGCTGGGGGCTCTGCCCCTCACGTGAGGAGGGTGCCCAGGTCCGTGCCCCCCACGTGAGGAGGGTGCCCAGGTCCGTGCCCCCCACGTGAGGAGGGTGCCCAGGTCCGTGCCCAGGTCTGTGCCATGTGGACGTGCCGGTTGCCCTTGCTATTCAGGGTGAGTGGGGTGAGGGGGGCAGCCCTGGGCAGATCCAGGGCAGATCCCACAGGTCTCTGTTCAATAAGGGCTTTGTGTGGGATCACCTGAACCTGCCAGACCGGTCCCGGGAGCGCCGGGAGCCTCTCCTGCAAATCCTGGGAGGCTCTGAGCCGCTGCAGGAGCGGGTTCTGAGGGGAGGGTCCCCAGGACACCACTCCCAGGCCTCTCTGCCTGGGCTGTGTGGTGGCTGCCATGGCACAGGAATGAGCCACTGCTGTCCAGGGGGGTCTGAGGAGGCCCCAGGTGACCCCCTGTGTGGCCCCCAGAGGGGGGAACACAGAAGGACACTGGCAAGGCCAAGATTCTCTCTCTGTGCCATCCAGAGCTGAGCACCCCAGACCCACAGTGCTCCGGTCAGGGGGGCTGTGCTGTGGTTGACCCGGAGGTGGGAGAGGCTTGGGGCCACGCTCACCCTGGGCAGGGATGGGGACGGGGTGCCCAGCTCACCTCCTGGAAGCGGCTCTTGGCGACCGTGACCCAGGACTTGATGGTGATGACGGAGTCGGGGTGGCAGGTGGCGAGGATCTCCTCCCCCAGCGAGGTGATGCACTCCAGCTCCAGCTGCTGGCACTGCAGGGACTGCATCAGCTCCTGGGGGGGACACAGGCTGTGGTACTGCCAGGTCTCAGCCCCCTGCACCCTGTCAGACCGGCCTCCCCCCAGCGAGGGGTGTTTGAGATGCCAAACCTCCCCACCCTGGGGTGTTTGGGGCCCCAAACCCCGTGTTCGTGGTGCAGTGGGACCCGACATCCCACATCTCGCTGTGGGGACCCCACACCCCAGAAGGGCCTGTCAGGGGCCGGCTGACCCCAGTGATGGGGTGTCCTCGGGCAAGGCTGGAGCCACCCAGGGCAGGGGCCAGCGGGGGCTGTTGGGGGCTGGCACCCACCTGCAGCTGGCTCTGGCACTCCTGCACGGCCACCTCCTCCTCGGGGAAGACGCCGTACTTGAGGGTCTTCTCCGACTCGGAGAGGCGCCCCAGGAAGGAGTGCACCAGGGTGTGGAACTCCTCTGCCTGCCACGACAGCAGGGACCTGCTCAGCGCCCACCCTGTGGCCACAGGTCCTGTCCCTGAGTCCCCTGGCTGCCCAGACCCCCGGACAGACCCCGAGTCCTGCCCCTGCTGCTCCTGCCTGAGGCTGGACAAACCATGGCACAGGCCCTGGCACTGCACCGTGCCAAGGGAGAGCTGCTGCCAGCCCCCCTCAGCCCTCCAGTGGGACTGAGGGGACACCCCACACCCCGGCTCAGTGCCTGGACACAATTTCCTCTGAGCTCCCCCCCCGTGCCTCCTTGTGCCATGCAGGCCCCTGCCCCATGGGCACACCTGAAACAGGTGCCTGCAGCTCCCAGCCTGGCACCCGGCCATGGCACCGTGTGACACGGCCACACAGAGCCCCACGGCCCCACACAGCGCCTGCAGTGCAGCCACACACCGAGCTGGGGTACCCCAGGGGGAACCCCAAAATGCACGGCCACACACCGAGCCGGGGCACCCCGTGGGGAACCCTAAAATGCATGGCCACACACTGAGCCTGGGCACCCCATGGGGGACCCTAAAATGCATGGCCACACACTGAGCCTGAGAACCCCGTGGGGAACCCCCAAATACACAGCCACACACCGAGCCTGGGAACCCCATGGGGAACCCACAGCCACACACGGAGCCTGGGCACCCCATGGGGAACCCCCAAATGCACGGCCACACACTGAGCCTGGGAACCTCCCGGAGCACCCTGGAGCACGGCCACACACCTAGCCTGGGTACCCCAGGGGGAACCCCCAAATACACAGCCACACGTTGAGCTGGGGCACCCCATGGGGAACCCCCAAATGTGCATCCACACACCACCATGGGCCCCACAGAGAACCCCGAAATGCACAGCCACCCACCAAGCCTGGGCACCCCATGGGGCACCCTGGAGCTCGACCACCCACCACCTGGGCACCCCACACCCCTACGGCTACCTCGGCCTCCCCATGTGGGTGCACCAGCTGCAGACCCCGACCCCAAGGGTTCCCCTGCTCTTCTTACTGCCCCTCCAGCCCCTCCTGTCACAGCACACCCCAAACTCAGGGGTTCCCCTGTTGCCCCCCAGCCCCTCCTGTCACAGCACACTCCAAATCCACAGGTTCCCCTGTTGCTCCCCCAGCTCCTCCTGTCACATCAGACCCCAAACCCAGGGGTTCCCCTGTTGCCCCCCATCCTCACCTGCCGCAGCGCAGCCTCCAGCCGGGCCTGCTTGGAGAGGGAGAGTTTGCAGACCAGGTCCCAGCGGGTGCTGAGCTCCTCCACCTGCCGCTGCAGCCACTGCGAGTCCACGCTGCTGCTGCCGCGCGTCAGGTCCCGCACCGAGCGCTTCAGCGTCTTGATGCAGCTGGCACGTTTGCCCAGCTCCTTCTGGAACCCCTGGCAGGGAGCACGGGAGGGGTGGGAGGTGCCGGGGGGTCCCAGAACCCTGCCTGGACCCTGCTACCGAGCCGGGTTCCTGCGTACCCCAAACCTCACAGCAGAGAGCCCAGGGTTCCCCTGCACCCCGAACCCTCCCAGCAGCAGGTACAGAGCTCCTGTGCACCCCAAACCCTCCCAGCAGCAGGTACAGAACTCCCATACCCCAAACCCTCCCAGCAGCAGGTACAGAGCTCCCATACCCCAAACCCTCCCAGCAGTGGGGTACACAGGGCCCCCCAGTGATGCCCCCAGGACGGGGGGCACGAGTTTGGGTCAAACAGGGGCTGCTCCGGGTGAGCCAAGGCCCGTCCTGCGCCTGGGTCCGGTCCCGTCCCGGATGGAGGGTGGGCACAGCGGGAGCGGAGCCCGGGGCTCCCCGAGGGGTAACACCAGGCAGGGCCGGGACACCCACCCCGGGACACCCACCTTGTGCTTGTCCATGAGGTCCCCGACCAGGTCCCGGTCCCCTCCGACGGGCACGTCCTCGCTGAGCTGCGGCTCGGCGCGGTACAGCCAGTCCATGAGGGCCTGCAGCGCGTCCGTGAACTTGCCCGAGAAGAGCAGGTTCTCCTCCAGCTTGTGCTGCCTGACGGGGGGCACAGGAGATGTCACAGCGCCCAGGGGCTGGGGTCACCCACAGAGCCGGGTACGGCCACCCCACAGAGCTGGCAGGGCCCTTATGGACAGGGACAGGCCCTGGCAGGGCCCTTATGGACAGGGACAGGCCCTGGCAGTGCCATTATGGATAGGGAAAGGTCCTGGCAGTGCGATTATGGACAGGGACAGGCCCTGGCAGTGCCCTTATGGACAGGGAAATGTCCTGGCAGTGCCATTATGGACAGGGACAGGCCCTGGCAGTGCC